TTGATTCTCATAGTTTTCTACTTCTCCGTGTCAGCGCTCTATTTTGAGGTTATATCACAAACATCAATTTGCATCAAATTGTGCTTGGTTTTGAGTTAGGTATATCATGTTTTATCACCCTGAAATTTCCTACAATTTAAAAGGAAAACAAATCTTCACAATAGGAGAGCGCTGACGCTGATACGGGACAAGTGTAATCTAGAAATTTTTGAAGTAGAGAAAGGAGTATGACAATCAAGGAGGCCATAAACGCGCCCTACAATAATTGTAGGGCGGCTTTATGGCCTCCTTGATTGTCATAGTTTTCTACTTCTCCGTGTCAGCGCTCTATTTTGAGGTTATGTCACAAACATCTATTTGCATCAAATTGTGCTTGCTTTTGAGTTATATCATGTTTTATCAGCCTGAAATTTCCTACAATTTAAAAAGAAAAGATATCTTTACAATACGAGAGCGCTGACGCTGACACGGGACAAGTGTAATCTAGAAATTTTTGAAGGAGAGAAACGAGTATGACAATCAAGGAGGCCATAAACGCGCCCTACAATTGTAGGGACGACTGACGATACGGGCCTAAGATCATTGAGTTATACAAAGATGGTCAACGTCAAGTCGACATTGCCAAAAATTTGAAGTTGAAGCGTAAAGCAGTTTGTTCAATATTAAACAAATATAAACAAAAAGGAATCTTGGAAGCCTGTAAGAAAAGTGGTCGGCCTAGAAAACTAAATAAATTAATAAAAGTAATTTCGTCCAAAGATCCGTTTAAAACCCCAAGACAAATAAAAGCCGAAATCGAGACAAAAGGAATTGTCAGTGTTTCTACGAAAACTATGAGTAGAAGATTAAATTATTTGAAGTTATTTGCACGTCGCCCGAGTAAGAAGCCGCTAATCTCGAGGAAAAACCGTAAGGACCGATTACAATTTGCACGGTTGCATCTTTATTGGAGCATTTGTGACTGGAAGAGGGTATGTTTCAGTGACGAATCCAAGATCAAAATGTTTGGATCACATGGTGTTCATTACCTTGAACGTCCTAGTGTACAAAGATTGAACCCCAAGTACACTTTGCCCACTGTCAAACATGGAGGCAGGTCTGTTATGGTTTGGGGGTGTTTTTCGGGGTTTGGGATGGGACCTTTACATAGAATAGATGACATGGATAAGTTTGTATACACAGACATATTAAAGCATGTCATGTTACCCTATATGGAAGACGATATGCCCTTAAGATCAATCTTCCAGGAAGATAATGACCCGAAGCACACTTTAAATCTCACAAAGAAATCCTTTCTGGATGAAAAAGTACCAGTTGTCAAATGGCCTTCACAGTCTCCCGATATAAACCCCATTGAAAATCTATGGGAATACGTAGATAAGCAAATATGAGATAAAAATTATTCATACAAGGATTAACTTTTTGCCGCTTTAGAGTAAAAGTGTAAACAGATTGATTAATCTTATATCAAGAAACTTCTACAGTCTATGCCGAGACGATGCCAGGCGGTGATTGATAATAATGGTTATGCTACAAATTATTAACACAAACAGGGTTAGTTTTCTATAATTCAATGAACTTTGCTTCTTTTTTCTATAACTGTTTTGCTTTGTCTATATATTTTTGTCCTTCATAGTTCCAGTTTTTTCAATTAATTTTTTATTGAAGGGAGTCTAATGAATTTATTTATGTATAAGTGAGTATTATGCTATAACGAATTATGTATAAATAACAGGTTGGTGTATGAATAAAACAAGTTAAAAAATAAATACAGCACAATATTAATTTGTCCGTATACTTTTGTCCATTACTGTAGATACTTAAAAATAATAAGGGTCATTACAAAATGTACCTGTTTGTTGAACTCATTCTTGCCTGAATAATTTTCAGTACTGCAGATAGACATGATTGTTATTGTAATCCTTCAGGCAAGATAAATTAAAACGGTTCAGCAATGCAGGGCATTTATGTTGAATAATAGCAGTAGTCATGGGATAGCTTCGTGAGTTTGATAGCAATTCTCACTTGGCTGCAGATATGATAGTATGTTGATTAACTTGCAAACTGTCAAAACTCGTCCAATTAATATTACACATCATAAAAGTGCTCCACTGCTCGGCCTCCCTTTGGCGAATAGTCCCATTGCTTATCAATGCTGATAGATGTTAACATTTGTCAGGCTGCAAAGTGAAATGACAGTCCACCATACTTATGTAGTTTCATTTGGCTGCTAGAGAAACCTGATTTATCAGCACAAAAACCAAAGAATAAGTTTCAGATGTTACACTTTACAAGCAATTTTATCACCACTGTCTCATGAAAAAGATCAGTACATCACAGGTCAACAAAATTCAGTGTGTATCCCATACTATTAACAAATCGATAAACATCAAACATATCTCCATATCTGCATTACGGTAAATTGAAATTTTGATGAATATTCATAGTTTTTCGGGCTTTTAAATGAAACTGCATTCAATTCATCATACCTATGTGGTTTCATTTGGTTGGCAGAAAAAGGATTCATCAAAATTACTTGTGTGTTGATAGTACTGGCTATAAAATGCTTCTTATCTTCAAACCATTCTTAAAATTCAGATATGCTTTAAAGTATTGAGCAAGGTGTGGATAATTGTGGGGTGTTTGCTCTGAAGTATTTTTAGACAACTTTATATGTATACATACTACTTTCTAAATTTCATCCTGTTTCTCCCAGGGCTGTGGCTTGAGGATGAGGCCCCAAATGGAATTTAAAAAAAACTCAGTAGTAGTAGTAACCTGGGGCCCCCTCATCCACATGCCTTGAGCTTCCTATGTGTCCAGGGATCTCTACATAGCTTAAGAGAGCCCAATTTTTAATATTAGCATGAAATTAATTTGGATCTTTTCATGTCATCATACCTATGATGCATCAAAATTCAAGATGATTTTGAGACCTGGTCCTAACAGATTTCTAATAGGAATTATCATGAGAGAATCAAATTTATCATGCAGGGTGATATGTTTGACAACAAGATAACGTCAGAATTAATGTCAAGGGTTAAAACTCAGCTTGGATTAGGCACCTGGTAGTCTCTTTACCAAATACTGTCTTGAACCAAGTAGGGGTTCTTGGGCACACAGAAGTTTGAGGCTCAGCTTAAAAGGCCCAAGTCTGAGCAGACTTTGGGTCCCAGCTTTTCCACTAATGGAAATTGAAAAGTGGGGAAGGCACTTGAGGATCCACCCATCAAGCTAGGCTGTGGGCATGTGCCTGTAATGCCTAAGTATAGGATAAAAGCAGAATAGTTACTAAGTGGTCCAGCAGACAAATCAAGGTGCAATTTATGTTTATAAGTTAGATGGCTTGTACCTGTGTGAAAGCTCATTGTGGTCAATTTTTGTTTTTTTGGTATGGAGATATGATGGAACATATAGTTTTATTGATTTTTATCTTTCAGCTTCCCTGGGAGCCTGTAGCTGACGCTTGGTAAGTGTTTTTGTCGATTTTTGTACAATTTGGAACATACAATGTACTGTCTATCTTCCTGATTTTGTAACAAAACTACAGTAAGTACAGAGCATTTTGAAAATTATATTTGCCCATCACTAAATAAACTAGTAAAGAGCTACAACAGTGTAATAGCATTTAAAAAATGGTAAAGTAGTTTAAACTTTGGGTAAACTCTATTATTGCCAATCTGTGTGATTCTGGCTGTCAAATAAAACCATTCATTTCAGTCACTGACATCACTAATTTCAATATGCGAACACGTTGAATCCCAGTGTTTTTTCTTCTATGGTTCATGTTATTTTGATTTGTTTATTTATCGAGCCTTATATTGCCTCATTCTATTTGTGTATTGTATCTATCCATGTTACATTTTGTTTTTGGATGTAAGAACGGCCCTGTGGCTTAACTTTGTCAAACTATTGTGCATTAAATATAGACATTTTATAATTATCAGTAGTAGCAATCACAGAATAAGTGCCAGATTTTACTATTATCATCATAACCTATGAAAGATATGATGATTTAGATCAATAAAGCTGTAGAAAAACCTCTGCCACCTGTAAAATTCTTGTTCAATTGATGTCAACAAAAAAATTTAGGTCATTTATCACTTCATAGTCACCTACATTTAATTTACCACAATGAACAGATAGAATTAGTCATCAGAATACTCATAGCATGTAGCACATACATATTTTTCCAAGAAAAACAAACAGGCAACCTGTTTACAAACCAATTGCAGTCCTTACTGATTTTTGGAAAGCGGAATTGATACAGTTTTATAATATTCAGCTATTTTTTTGCTTCTTAATAATTAATTCCATCTAACATGTGTTATTCCCTTTCTGAAGGAGGAACAGATTGTCTTCAGTCTGATCAAAATGTTGCATGTTCTGGTTCTGTTTAAAGACATACCCACTGTTTCTACTTTTTGCCTGGCCTTGTAATTTCAGTTTACCACCTGTAATCTTGAAATGAACACCTGGCAACCCTTAGTGCACCTGTTGCTCTTAAGGCTGTCAAAATATGTATGGCTAATGTGTCATTAAAGATTTGTTCATTGCACCCACAAGTAGCGGCTTAAACCAAGGAAAATAAAGCTTTTCAAATGTAATACAATTTATTATGCATTTATTCTGTCAGTACTAGGTACTGCAAGTATAAAAAGAAACATCCTCAATGTTGCTTTCTAAAATAGGAATAATGATTTCATTTCAGTGCAACCAATAAAGAAAAACAATCGTGCAAGTATTTTAAAATGCACCTGTACTTATTTATAAATAATTATGCCAATCTGTGTACTAGTCAGACTTTTAATAGATTGACCCCAATTTAAACTTTAATAATATAAACAATAATACATCTTGTAAAAGATGACGAATAAGCTTTATGTTTATATCGTAGTAGGCTTAGAATAAAGAAACGATTGCATTTATTTTGACCTTTCCATAGCTAACTTTGATTTAACAAAATTGAATTTTTACGTACGGTACTACTATTCACTTACCCGTTGTGGTTGTAATATGACATTTGTATGGGACCTTCCAGTGTTTTTAACTATCAAAGAGAGCACACAACACTTATCACTCAATACAGCGAGATCACTGTGTCATCAAATATCAAAACAATCCGATTGTCACCTTTTGTTTGTAAAAGGTGACACAAATATGGTCCACGAGTTGTCACAGACTGACGGCACCACGCTACCAACCAAAGAACAAGAAACGAAGGCGAAAGTTACATGAAATACGAGATTTTGTTGAATAGTGCAATGGGGGTCTTAGCGCTAGGCAACCAGCTATGCAGCAACTTTGAAGGAGACCATACACTAGCATATACGAGCCCCTTTCCACTTCAGTTGGCCCACTTCAAGATTTGTACCAAAATATGCCTTTATAAACTAAACATGATGAAACTATTTACTTCTAAAACAATTTGTTTTCTCAAAAACATTTTAGATACACTCTATTCGTAAAAAATACATATTTGAAATCACTTAGACCTATAGCTAATAGAACATCTGAACAAATAAACTATGTGCACAAAGTTTCAATAGGTGACAGATTTGGACTGCTAGAAACCCATTTCAAAAGTGGTACATTATTTTCTTCCATCCATTTTATAGCCTTTTTTTTCTGAAATACAAAATCTTGGCCGGATGTCAAACATTCTTCCATCACTGGTAAAAGCGATTCTTCTAAAATTGCCAAATATTTGTTTGTATCCACATTTCCATCAATAAAATGAAGTTTTCCTACTCCTTTTGATGACATACTTCCCCAGGTCATAATGGTTGCTGGAAATTTCACTTTTCTCTTCAGACAGTCAACATGGAATGCTTAATTTTTTTTGCGAACAACTCTACTGCGACTGTCACCAACACAAATTTCGAATCGGGCCTCATCACTCCATTGTATTGCACACCATTGTGGAGGTGTCCATTGTCTATGTTCTTTAGCCCATCTCAGCCGATTTTTCTTTTACAGTGAAGTTAATAGTGGCTTTTCTTTGGCCTATAAACAAGTTGTGCAACTTTAGGGTTTTTACTTCACTTTTTTTATAAGAAAACTTACCTTGCAAGTGCTAAATCCCAGTTTGTGGGCCCTCTATGAGCTGTGGACCTCGAAATTCTCCTTCCAACAGCGTCACTCTACAGAGCACTGAATTGTAAATAATTATCACGCCTGTTTTTCACGATTATTCTTCTTAATGCGCTTATTAGACAGTAACGGATCAGAAAACGTAGATATTTCGGAAAACAATGAAACCCAAGAAGGAGACAAGCTATGCGATTGCCTGTATGGAGAGACTGCAATACATATTTAATTTTGTTTGTTCTTTTTGCAAGGATTACCTTGTTTTGTTTGTTTAAAGAAAAATAAATAAACTTTTTCGCTCACAGTATGTCATGTTGTGTGCAATACCGGATATATCCAAAGTTTTTCTTTGCTAATAACGCCGAGTTGTTAATTTGTTTTACAAAAAAATCAATCAGTCGGTCAACCCCATTAAATTGAAACTGTTTCCTCAAAATAACACATTTTTTTTTAAATAAATATGTATGGTGTTTTTTTCATCGCCTGAAAAAATCCGGTTTTGCACGCGAGCTCCTCAGTTGTGGAACTGAGCGCGTCATCGTCCGTCTGGGAAGACACAGTAGAAGAGTTTGACAAATGATGCAAATTTCGGAAGAAGCAAACAATTCGAATCAAACAGCGACAATTGAAGTAGAATTTGCAACCAAAGCTTGTGATAGAGCAGTACTTAAAATTCCTCACCAAGTGAACAATGAGTATGTTTCCTCAATTTTTTTTATTTTTTCGGCGCTGTTTTACCGCAAATCAGTTTTGTTATTTCTGAAGATGAAGTTCCAACTTTCAGGCCACCCTGTATACTGTGGTACCAACATAAAAAATTAATATTGATTGTAGGCATCTCCCAAATTTAAAAATTTATCTTACTCATGAAACATTAAAAAACAGTATGAAATGTTTTGCGATTAGAAATACTTTGTTGCCAGCTGAGACGTAAAACGGTCGTAGTTGACCTATAAAAGCCAGGGAAATTAAGTATTTTTAAGACTATGACCCAATGAAAAAAATTAGGAAAATTGTGACTGTTTTTTTGTGTATCTAGCTTCAAAGTTTTGTGGAAGTGAAAAGCTTAAAACAGTTTGTATACTCTTTATTTTATAGATGCTCTGGATATAGTACAGTGAACAAGAATATTTTACAGATAACATGCATACTATTAGAAAAAATAACGTTCAGAGATTTGAATATAAAATATACAAAAGTTCATAGAAAGGCTACAGATGTGTTTTTTTTTTCGCATTGGTTCGAATAAATAAATCGTAATGCCAGAGGGGAATAAATTAAAAAATATAAACTTAGAAAACTTCTTAAAAATTGAGTTTCATAAAAATATTGACATTTATCATTATAATATGCTATGTAAAATACATATACTTTTTTAAGAAATGGTAGGACCACTCGACAGCCATTTTTTAAACACTAGAAAACACAAATCTAAAAGACACATTTTTATTTTGGTATATGGAGGACCCATACAATGACAATCGTCCAACAGCATCTCAGAAAACTGAAATAAATTGACATATTTTTTCCTTTGATTTTCAAGTCGCAGAACTGTATGCTGCTTGATTGTAGATTATCGTCATATAGATACTATGAATATGAAATTATGTTCTTTATCTGTTGCAAAACATACAAAAATGACATAAAAAACAATCTAAACAGTTAAGTGCGTGTCTGTAAAACAAAAACGCTTGTGAAGTTGCTTCAAGTGCAATTTTAGCACGGATAGAGTTTTATCTACCTTATCTCACACATATGTAGTTTGCCACTTTCAAAAAATAAATTACTCCAAATATGTAATTGCAATATTTTAAGCACCAAATCTCTTAAAAACACCGCACAATTTGTCCTAAATTATTGGTAAATGTTGAACTGTTTTTATGTATATTAATAAATTTTTAAGGTATTACAACAGGATAAAATATGAAACATTACTGGCAATAGTATAACAATAATACGATTATTTTTCTAAGGCGTACGGAAACTTCAATTATCACAAGAATCATTTTTAAAACATCTATAATTACAAAATCTGTAAGTAATCCTTTTCTTTAAAATCACTCTACGTAGGATGAAAAATCAACAATGTGCAATTTATAGCGTATTTTGAAAGAATGTGTAGCAAAGTAGTTTGATGTTTTTGAAATCACCAAACATGACGTGAGATTAAAGAACAAGTTTGTATTCAAATTCCAACAAGGTTGCTCCTATTTTTTCATACCTCGAAGAACGCCTTATTAAAGAATGGCTTCCATTTTTTTCTCTCTTTTGAGAAGGCAAAAACTAGGTTGATGTTTGGTTTCCTAAAGAAGAGAAAAAACTAAGAAAAACAGGGAGGCCATTGCTAAGAGGTAAGAAGGCAAATTGGAGCGACTGAGAATACTACCCTCAATACCACTACAAACTGTTTTTATTACAAAAATTGTGATTTTTTGTCGTGTAATTAGATAAAGCCTAAATTCACATGCTCAACGTGCATCCCAATGATTTTGTTCTTCACAACTCCACAAGCGTAAAAAAGCTCGAGATCCACGAAATTTGCGCTACTCTGAAGTACCTTATTAACAGTTCGCTTGGTTGAAAACAATCTCGAAAATTGTAAGAATGACTGACAGAAAATACACTGGAAGAAAAACGTTTGGTAGGTGGTCAAAGTTGCCGATGAAACAGTTGACAGTAAAACAAGGCAAAGTCTGACAATTATGCCTCATTTGACCCTATTTACCAACACCGTACTACTTATCAAGCCAATTACTGGTAACTGATTATTGAATAAACCAGCTCCAGCAATGTGATGTACCTATGTTGATCTTGCATCAATGTGGTGCGTGATATAGACAACACACAACACAACATCCATGACTCGAAATACGAGCTCGCGAGCCTCGGGTCTACCCAGGCCCCCAAAACAAGTGGTCTTGATAGATATTGACAAGATATTAAGTTTATACGTCAAACTTATTAGACTTTGTGCTTTCTGGTTCAGCTGTGATGATAATTGCAACGATATCAACTGACCGAAACAATAAAAAAGAGTATGTTATATAGTGTTGGATGTGTAGGATTTCAGGGATCTATTAGTGCCAGTATTGCGGGATGATTTTAAAGAGAAACATTGGGGGAAGTTAACATGCAGGTCTTTAGTAGTAATTTCAGACTAGGTAGTTCTAAATTTTTGTCATATTGATCAAAAATATCAATTGAATGCTTCCTTATTGCATCCTTTGCTTTCAGAAGCTTTTGAAGAACTTTCTCCCAAGCATTGCATCCTAAATATCTTCTGCCGGTCATTATTACATTTTACCGGTACCAATCGACCTTTTTGACGTTGCATACGTATACTTCACAGCACGCCAAACGTTCACGGTCACGAGAAGTACCCTAAACAAAAACGCCTAACACAAACGCCGTTTCTAATCTGATCACAATTTCAGCTCCCAAATAACAATATGAGCGTCGTTACAGTTCACTTCAACACCTGCAAAACCTGTCTTTGACTTGTCCGCCGCGCAACACGGTTGCCTGTAATTCACATAACCTCTACCGCCCATAAGCGTTATAATAGTCCTTCGGCCGTTATCGAAAGTGCCCGTTTTGCTTTGCTCAACGTTTTCGTGTTTTGCTTATTCACATTGTTGGTGGGAGTCTTCTCTGGGGTTTCTTGTTCCGAGACGCTCTCGCAAACGCCGTTCAACTGTCTTGACGCGTTCGAGTTGTTGCGCGAGATGCTGCGGCCTAGTCGGACTGCCATGCTCTCCTCTGAGCCTGAAGAGGTGCACAGGCTTGAAGACCTGTAAAAATTAAACGAACGTTAATGCAACAATACTAACACAGTCACCAAAGCTTTAAGATAACCGAGAAATCAAGATTCGAAAAAGTCGAAATGGGCGAGCCTGGCACTGCACCCAACGTGGAAAGGTACGATGAGAGTCATTATACAAATTCGGCGCCGCGCGGTGTGTAGGTTTCATTCTTAAACAACAACAAAGTTATCTATTTGGTACTAGTTTACGGTGAGCCTCCAAGATGCTATTGATACTTCGCGAGTGTGTAGTAACCAATCACTTGAGAGATCGGGACAATGGGCGGCGGCGAGATTTGAACCCGCATCTGTTGCATTCCATGGAGCCGACCAACTTTCAGGATCTAATGTTAGAGGCAAATTCAATCCTACCAAAGCCACCGCTCCTTTGTTCTCTCAAGCTGCTTTGGTGGCCCATCTGGCGGCGTTCAAGTGAAACATCCGGATTGCTGAAGTATATCTAATCGATGTCCAGTTACGTCACGCGGTCTCGTGAGCACACACCACGGTACCACCTCGTTCATCCGAAAAATCGTATACAGGCGACTGCCCTCGCACTGTGGTACCGTGGTGTGTGCTCACGACGCGGCGTGATGCAACTGGAAAGCGATTGGAGATACCTTACCCGTACGTTTGTTCCACTTGAACCCTGTTATATGGAGCTCCAAGTCCGCTTGAGAGAACAAAGAAGCGGTTGCGAGAGTAGGATTAAATTTTATTCTGGATGTTTCTATCCCAAGCCGCATACTTTGTTTATACGGTGCAAAAGCTCTTGATATGGACACATTAGAAGACTTAGGCAGCCCCAAATGTTGCTTTTCAAAAAAATTAACAAAGGTGTCTTGTTGAATTTTTTTTTACTGACAATAAATGAAAAACATTTCCAGGGCACAGGAATCTTGTTGGCATTTTTAGATGGGATTCAAAACATATCGATGCTCTGTGGGATTTTTTTGACAGTAGATGAAAGCATTATCAAATGAATTTATTTGAATGGTCAAAGAAACCGTCAACCTGATATTTTCCATAACAACGACACTTAAAAATACTGATTTGAATAATTCGTAACTAATATTAATAACATATCACCTGGCCTCAGAAGGAGGGATATGTTTTTCACTCAGCCCTTGTTCAAAAAAGCTTTACCTTTCATGCTGTCAGGTTATATAATTCTGATTAAATTTATTGAGGTAAAACTATAGTTTCTTTCAGGAGACTTGTTAATAAACGGCTGACTGAATAGTGTAAAGCTACTGTGATGTGAAGTGTTCAAACTATACACCTGTTTAAATCACTTTATTTCTCCTGTTTCATATTTCTTTGCTTTGTTGGTTTGTACTTTCGTATGTGAATATTGAAGACACTTTATCTTTCCTTTTTGTCTACTTACTTTTCTTTTTCTTATTATTTTTTTTTCTGTATCGAGTTTATCTTTGTTAGTTTCTCCCACACAGTGAGGTTAAGTGCAAGAGTAGCCTTTTGGCTAACTTTGTATATTAATAAAGACATTATTATTATATTTATGTATGTATCCAAAAAAATCTATTCCATGGGTTACTGGCCAAACGGCTTGGTGGATTTTGACGTCCCAACTAGCAAAGTAGTGGTATAATAGCTTTTGGTAAAAGAACCGTTCAGCCATAAAAGCTATTGTTGTTGCCTGAACACAAAAATGCTGGCTTAATGTTGTGTGGAATGCAGATTTGCTTTCTGCAACATATTTGCTCTAAAATGAAGTGTTTAAAATATTCTTATAGCATAGTTATGCAACACCTTATAGGCCAAATTTTTAACTGTTGCATAAACGTTTATACAACTATTTTATACGGCATATTTGCACGTTAGTCAAAATGGTTGTGTTGTGGCATCCATGGTAACGTTATAAAACAAATCCGAGCCTTGTTGTTTTGCTGTGCAATTTACTACTTTAGCCAACAAATTGCTTCCAACGGAAGCACTTATACAACTGTTGTTTAGTAACTGTTAAAGGCTGTACATATGCTAAATATGTTGGTAAACAACTTCACCATAACCTAACTTTCTGCTGTCATATTTTTGTAAAATGCTAAAATCCTAAAATGCCATAATCAATGTTTTAAGACAAACAACGCATGCATATTGGTTCAAAAGGTTTTATCAACTGTTCAAACAGAAGATATAGATTTGGTACAACATGGACGATGCCATGATTGTACACAACCACCCGCCATATTGGGCAAACATTTATTCCTCTACATTAAATAATTATGTTTCAGTTCGAAATTACAGATATAAAGTGATAAACATTAGTGTAATTGTGTCTAAATATAGGATTTGTGGAAGATTTAACGCAGATAAGTTCAGTTTTCCATCTTAAAAATCTAGACATAGTTTTGATCATTGTCAAAATATGAATCAAATACGAAGCCTGTAGAAATTGGGTAACTAATTTGCACGATAATCACAATAAAATGCGCTGCGCAAGTAATTCAATAGCCCTATATCACAGTGTAGAAGTTTATCATAGACCTGTGTATGAAATTCACAATGTCCGATATGTAAGTAAACAAGGTGACTGTAATGTGTTAGTTATATATTCTTCACTTCGTGTATACAATAGATAAGAAATAGTTTGGTTGCAATAAAGTAGAATCACGTAACAGAATAGTTGTATAGTTGACAAAAACTGAATCTTGCACTGACGCAAATGTCCTATAGCGGCTGCAAGAGGCTTACACTTTTGTTTTATAACTGTTACCTGCAACCCTTATTTAACCTCTTGAATGACTGAAGTGTCCTATTAGGTGTGCCCATTCCGCTTGTATAGCTGTTCTAAGAGGGTTTTGCCAATGTTCTTACAGTATACAATGCTGTTTAAGGAATACTGTATAATCATTCTTGCAACTCTAATAGGAGTGATAATTGTTAGTTTGGGTATGAGGCGTCTCTAGATTTTTTTTGATACAACAATCAAATCTTCATTCTTTTTAGTTTCATGTACTTGTTTTTTATTATTCCTCATACCTTGAGTCGACGGACCAGTTCGATAAATCCAGCGACCTAGGCCTGGACACCTTCATCCTGAGCCGTCTATCTAGAGTGCTGACTTTGTTCGGAATGGCTGCCAATTCTGGATCGCTGCGTCTCAGAGACTCGTATACGGGGTCGGTCAGAATGTTCTCTTCGCGTTCGTAATCCTTGATGTACATCAAGTCGCTGTAGAGACCGTACACGTTATTCGTGTCTCCAGAACTTTGAGAAGATGTGCTCGATGTGGAGAATATAGAACCGCCATTGCCAAACCCTGAAACAAGACATTCGGTTAGGTCGAAGCAGTGAAGGTCATGAGTTATATGTTCTAGTACGGATCACCATGGTACAACAGTCATAAAATGTGCTCAGAACTAGAAAGATTCACTATATGTTACCAAAAAACTCCATATACATGTTTTCGAGGTCAAAATGGCGGATCTAAAATGGCTGGTATGTTTGTGTTGACTGCGCTCAGACTTGAGTTTTCAATGGTTTTGATGTTGTTGATAATACGATGTAGATTTTTTTCGAAATCAAAATGGTGGAAAGTTCAGTCAGTACCACAGTTAGAAATGGCCAAGTCTGGGCAATGGCGATGTCAAGCTTATTGCTACTTTAACCTAAAACTTAGAATAGAATTAGAAATAGAAAAAATGCTATCGCCTAGTCGGCCTTTGTATCAATCCTAATATAAATTACACGGAAGATAGCATAAGAAAAACATTAAAACAAAAATTCAAGCGTTTAATAAACATATCTTAAAGGTCTTTTTTTTAGAATCGTGGATGAACTATAGAAAACTTGAATATCATCAGCATAAAATTGACTTGAACAGGATTGAAAAGTGTTAGCGACATTAAAAGTATATATGAGGAACATGAGAGGCCCAAATTTTGATCCCTGAGGCACACCGGAACAAATAGGCCTTTTTTATGAATGTTTATTTTGAATCGCGATATATTGATGTCGTTTATTTAGATAATCTATCCATTTCAGAGCCAGAACGTCAAATCCAATGTATTTACGTTTATAAATCAAAAGCTTATGATTCAGAGTGACAGAAGCCTTACTAAAGTCTAGTAAGACTCATGCGATTGTTTTCAGCTTATCCTTCAAGAATTTTAGAGAGAACTTTTAGATTAGTATGTAGGTACATATGCGATTACCAGGTAGTTGGAAAAGGTTCCACTAAAGTTTCCTTCCAGGCTCGTGGAAAAACACAATTTATTATGTGTAATATTGTTGAGAGGTTAGGTCGCCGCCTTGTGGGGTACAATGAAGGGTACTGTTGCGTCTTGTAGAACTTCTGATTTCACTGTTTTTTCACTTGAAACTTATAAAGGGTAGTCTGATAAATTATATTACATCATAAAAAGTGTGGATGAAGCACGCTTTTCATGATTTTTTTTCCAAAACTCTATTTTTTAGCAGTTATTTCCCTCATTATTTCCACCGCCATCTATCATATGACGGTGACGTCTGTGGATATGTCATATATGAGAGGCTCTTGGCTGCGGCGTTGCCGGATTGGGCTCCGTATTTAGGGAAACATATGAAAAGTAGAAAATTTATATACACATTAATGAAAGACAAAAACAAAAAACTGGAACAAACAACTGTAGTAAAATTAAAAGTAATTCTTACTAAGTATAAAGCAAAAAATAACAAACAGCAGTAAAATAAAAAGCAATTCTAAGTGATTGTAAAAGACAAAAAATTAAAAAAGTAGTAATACAAAAAACAATTCCATTTAATTATAAAAAACAAAAAATAACAAACTGTAAATTAAAAAGCAATTTGGATGGAATGAAATTGTTCTTCGTTTTACTACTGTTTTTACTTTTTGTTTTGTGTTGTCACTTAGAGTTGCTTTTTATTCAACATGGAATTTTTTGTTGGTTTTACTACTGTTTTGATTTTTTGTTTTTATAATCACTTAGAATTGCTTTTTATTTTACTGTTGTTTGTTATTTTTTAATTTTTATAATTACATGGTAAAAGTTTTTGTTTTACTACTCTTTTTATTTTTTGTTTTTTATAATTATTTATAATTTATCATTTTTTAACATACTACTGTTATTTTTTGATTTATACTTATTAGGAATCGCTTTTATTTTAATTTTAATATACATATATGTATATGAATTTTCAACTTTTCATATTTTTCCCTAAATGCGGAGCCCAATCCGGCAACACCGCAGGCAAGCGCCTCTCATATATGACATATGCACAGACGACTACGTCATATGGCAGATAGGTGGCGGTGGAAATAATGCTGGAAACAGCTAAAAATGCAATGTTTTGGGAAAGATTTTTCATGAAAAGCGTGCTTCATCCACACTTTTTTTGTTTCTAAATAATCTATCAGACTACCATCTAAAAGTTTTAAGAGAAAAACAGTGCAATCGGAAGCTCTACAAGACGCAACAGCACCTTAGACGTTTTACAATTATTACACTTTTTTTACGTTAATATTCAAATTTACAATTATTTAGACAGTTTTTGTCGTGCTGAGAAGAAAAATGTGTGGACTGTAACTTGTTTTTTCAACTCTCTTTCAATGTTGCCACGTTGAGCCGATTGTTCGGGATTCGCGGAAACAAATACATATGTATATTCATATAGCGGGCACATCTCATTGCTAATGCTATCAACACCACTAGAATTGGATTCAATACTGCGAATAGCATTTAATACTCTAGACACATCAACAAGACGGATCTGAAAATGAAAGTCTTGGTTCAACTTATCATTGCTATAATATTTTCTGAACAAGCGTCGTCGCTTTCTGAAATATACTCGTACTTGTAAAATAGTTATTTATTGCATCTAGAACTCGTCTATCATATATATTAGAATTCTGAATTTTAAATGACTTAAATACTTTATAAAGATCGGCGGAGTTTTTTGACGAGATCGAGGTAGCCAGGTAACCAGATGTCTATTAGTGAGAATTTCGTGTAAGCCTGGCTTTGCTAAACTCCGTCATCAATGTGGTTATGATTAACTTATAGGCTCACCTCGAGGTAGAGTCTTTGACAACCTGGCCAAATCGTTCTCCTTGGACCTCCTTTTCCTCAAGGCCACCGGGCTGTTGGTCAAATATTTCAGCTTGTTGCTGACGTTGTGCATCGAACTGTCCGACAGCTGTTTCTCCATCTTTGGCCTGAGCGTGACGTTCTCCTCTTTGCTTTCCACGAAACTGCTTTCCATGCTCTCGGGCTCCGTTTTGGATTCCGGTTTAGTATCTTTCACGCTACTCTGTACATAGGAAAAATACGAAATTATACAGGGTGTTTCAGTTTATTGTTGCATAACTTTAAGATTCGATAGAACTTTTAAAAATAATGCATAAAGTCTATATAAACATGGGTCGAAAAATGCGTGGCTTCCGAAATACAGGGTGTTTGAATTTACTTTCTAAAATAGTTTTTTTTAAATATTTCCAACAATATTTGATGTATCACAGTGAAAATTGGTATACAAGGGTTTTTTGGTACGAAAAAACGAACCATGGGCATAGTTTTACTGTAGCCGCTAGAGGGCACTCTCTACTGTACCTGTAGTGTATTAAAATGACCGAAAATTTTTTCTTAGTGCAATTTTTTGCTTTTTGAATAAACAAACTGATTCTTCGCACTTTTCTGCATAAAAAAGCTCTCTTGTGAGTTTTCGTTATAGTTAGCCGTTTTTGAGATATTTCGATTTTTAAGGTTCGATGCATTTTTAATTATTTATGATAAAATAACGTTAAAAAGTCAGTATCTCGATAATTTTTAGAAGTAGGCTGTGCCTGCAAATGTTTTTGAAATTGAAAGCAGAATAAGGTTAAACGTCAATTAGTTAACAGTTAGTTTTGTTGTCTGTTGAAACCTGAAACGTTTTTTTGCAATTGTGAATGCACGAAATTTAGTTTTTTTTACCTGTTTTTTTTGTAAGTTTTATAAAAATGCCATTTTATTCTCCAATCAAGATTTAGCGGGTATTCATTTTGTGTATGGCTTTGTAAATTATTATATTATTGGAAAATTAAACAAATTAATATTCTGTTTTTTTGTGTTTATTTGGACTTAGGAATTATTACTGTGTTTAAAAACACAATCTAAACGATCATCTTAATTACTTGTAATGCCCAAATCGAAAATGTAAAAAAAATATTATTTTCCCATAAATAATTAAAAATGCATCGAACCTTAAAAATCGAAATATCTCAAAAATGGCTAACTATAACGAAAACTCACAGGAGAGCTTTTTTATGCAGAAAAGTGCGAAGAATCAGTTTTTTTATTCAAAAAGCAAAAATTGCACTAAGAAAAAATTTCATCGGTCATTTTAATACACTACAGGTACAGTCGAGAGCGCCCTCTAGCGGCTACAGTAAAACTATGCCCATGGTTCGTTTTGTCGTACCAAAAACCCTTGTATACCAATTTTCACTGTTATACATCAAATATTGTTCGAAATATTTATATATTTAAAAAAACTATTTTAAAAAGTAAATTTAAACATCCTGTATTTCGGAAGCCACACATTTTTCGACCCATATTTATATAGACTTTATGCATTAATTTTAAAAGTTCTATCGAATCTTAAAGTTATGAGATAGGCAACTATAGGCTACGTCAGATCTTATTGGTTTAGAAGATATCTGAACATCTCAAATCCATCAAATATTAACCTTAACGCAGACATTTCCATAATTCTTTGGTTGCAAAGCCAACAGGAACGTGATTGGTCCAAAGTGCGCATGATATGAGATGTTGACGCGTCCGCTGATGATCGGAACGCCTTCTAGCCTGGGCAATGGGATGGTCAGGGTTCTTCCCACGTTCGTTCCAACCCACAGCAGGCCTTTGCAAGCTAACAAGGAAGTGACGAATACTGCGGGCCGAGTGTTGTTCATAGAGTCGCGTGGACCTAGAATGAAATGAATGTGTTATTGTTATCAAAATTCGAAACCTCAGAATTCACTTGAATTGGGTATTGGGTATGCAAAATTAAGTTTTTTTAAAATTACTCCCAAAATTTGTAGAATATTCCGAATATTTCTAAAAAAATCTTGCATGTTTGTGATCTGGACTATAATGATTTTAAGCCCAACGATGCTTGTAATACGTTTCTTGGGTCGCAGAAACCAAATCCAGAGCCCACTAGGTGCAGCAATTTCCCATTTTCGAAATATTGTCAAGAATTCCAATTAACACACAAAATAATAAGTTGGATTTGCCACTCAGTGCCTTTGAAGTTCTGCCAAGTTAAATTTTTGCAACTAGTGGGTAAAAAAATATTTAGTTTGGCCTCACTATAAGCAAAATGTCTCTCAAAAATCGACGTACTATGTAAAAGAATGGGCAGTGAATCATTGGGTCGCAGATTTAGAAGGATCTGATTTTCGTGAAAAATGTTATTTATTGCGTAAACAAAACGAGTTACTAGTTTTAAGAATTCTGTGCACCAATAAATGTATAGAGTAGTCGAATAAGTTATCAGCCCCAGAGCCATTGTAGCTCTTTGATTTTCGAAGAAACGCTACTATACAGGGTGTTCAATAAGTACCACGACAAACTTAAGTAGAAGGTAGGTTTTGGAATGACCAGCCAAATAACAGAAACTTACCTTTATAAAAGTGTCACCGTTTTTCAGATATTGATTTTTTTCTTAAATTTAAAAAAACAAACCTTTTCATCTGTGTCTTTAGCTGCATGTACAAATGAGGTTATACTTTGTTCATTTTTTCTATAAAATACTCCTAGATAGTTGCTTTATCATATACAAATGCGATGTAGTTAAAAGATATTAAGGAACCATGATCAAATAAGGACTATCTTGAAGTATTTTATAGAAAAAATGCACAAAGTATAACCTTATTTGTACATGCAGGTAAAGACCATAGATGAAAAATTTCAATTTTTTAAATTTAAGAAAAAAATCAATATCTTAAAAACGGACACTTTCATATAGGTAAGTTTTTTATTTGGGAGGTCTGTCCAAATCCTACCTTCTTCTTAAGTTTGTCGTGGTACTTATTGGACACCCTGTATACAGGGTGTCCGCAAAGTTGGGGTTTTCCTTTTCAGAAACAAGTACCCTTGAAATAACAAAGGTAATGTGTAGTGAAACGAGGGCGACCAAGTAAAAAAAATAAAGAAAAAAGTACTCACTCTTCAGTTGACGAGAAGGGCTAAGTACGTCTCTGCCCGAAATCATACCGCTCCAACAGAAAATGAAATCAGCTGATGCGCTACCGAGCAGACGCAGGCAAACAAGGAAGGCAAAATATTTCGTAAAAAGTCTAGGTATTGCATCCCGTCCAATCGATTTGGGAGAATAAATGGTCCAATGAGCATACCGTTCACCATGCCAGCCCAAACATTCACCGAAAATGTTTGTTGAAAATGTGCCCGAAGGACAGCGTGCGGATTTTCTACTGACCAAACATGAGTGTTGCGAAAGTTATTCACCCAATTACGCGTGAACGTAGATTCGTCTGTCACCAATATGCACTTCAAAAAGTCCGGATTATTGTCATGTTGATGCAACAACCACTCACAAAACCGCACTCTTGCTTGAAAATCGTCAGGTTGAACGGCTTGTACACGTTGGACGTGAAACGGATACAGCCCCTCTTCACGCAGCGTTTGCCACACTTTAGTTTTTGATACTTGCACTTCTCTAGCCACGTCTCTAGTGCTTGTTGAGGGGTTCACGTCTACGCGATTATCTCTACACGCGTAACCGTAACCGTCGGTTGAAGGTTGCATACTGACCTGACACACTGACCCCGACCCAGTTCTGTCGTCGGGTTGAGCTAGTGTCCTAGTACCAGTCGGGGATGTCGCGGCTACAGGACGGTATTCAGATATTTTTGATGTTGCAGAGCCCTTTATCTCGGTTCCCTTAAGACTTTGGTGTATATGGTACTAAGAAAAATTGCTTATGTTTTCAAGATCTACACGTCGTGTAAAGGAAAACCCCAACTTTGCGGACACCCTGTATATTTCATAAGACCAAATTAAATAATGCAACATTTCGTCTGCAGCATTGATTTGCAAATTGAATCTAGGCATGACTAAATGAGAACTATAGAGTAAGCGAAAATTAACAGTTTTTTAAAGTTGAGAATGTGACGATTAGGATATGAGAGCTTCATCTTAATACAAGTCGATTTCCTAATGCTATTTACACGAATGTTGAATCTAAGGTTAGAATCAAAAACTTTACCAACGAACAGAATATGAAGGTCGTTAAAAATAACTCGTTATTTGTGATACTGTAATTTGAATATTTAGGACAGTGGGTAATGGTATCGCAGTACATTTTGATGCGGACGCAGGAATCTAACACATTATCGAGGTTCAAGTTTATTTTAGATGATGCTTCCTGCAAGTTGGATTTATTAGAACAAAATATTAGTAGCGTGTCGTCAGCATAAATTTGAAGGTCACTTATGAGAATCGGACGTATACATATGACTAAAAGAGGCCCGAGTACTGACCCTTGAGGAACTCCTGATGTAAATCGTGTACCGGAATCTAATGCCAACCGGATCCTAGGTTGCAGAATTTTGACCCCAAATTTACTCTGCTGCATTTTAGGATGTTTTATGATTTATCTTCAAATGCAGTGTCTAAAATTTCCTATATCTACCAAGTATAGTTTATTTGTACTAACAAAGGAGGAAGATAATATACTGAAATGAATAAAATTCAGCGTTACCTGACATCCCGTTAACCCTCATGACGATAGATGCGATGTTTATATCCTGTAGATGCTTGAACGTCTCGGTGTGGTAAAGACAAATGGTGCTGGAGTTTTTCTGCGATATCCACAGTCCGATACCGCTGTGCGCCATCACGTGGACGTTGCCGAAGTTCTCGTGTTGGATGCTGAAACTTTTCTGTATTTCCCCCGTAACTCCGTTCAGGACCCAGACTTCTTGCCGCATGCGGCGTATAGGCTTAGGTTGATTGGGAGGAGGTGCGAGACTGGATCCGAGCCTGGAGAAGATCAGTACATTGAGGATAATTGGCATAGCTGTTTCCGGTTACACCGCAACTTTAAGCTAACCTGAACCTCAACTTTCACGTTTTTGTTGCACCAGGCACATTTAAAAGACTGGAACTTAAACAGGCGGTTGAGCTAAGTTCTGAAGGTCAATTCCTGAGCACATTATTGAAATGGGTAATAGGGAGGTCAAAACAAGTCAAAAAGATCATATGACCCATAGATTTTTGTCTAAATGGCTTTATAGTTTACAACTTTAAGTACTTTATATTACAATCTTACTAATTTTTATAATCCAAAACGTTTTTAAATCGGGTAATTAACAAATAAATGGCATCAAGTTTTTCTAAGTTAAGCCAAAATTTGTAATAAGTTTCATCAAATTAAATAATTAAAACACACATGACAACAGCGCGTCGATCTTTCATCACTCTTATCGAACCGGCAATCGATCGCAAACGGTAACAGTGGTTAGTATGTTGTTTTGTTTTTGTTCGCGTACGTCGTCGTGTTTATGTACAATGTTCTCGAATCAAGAGTTCGCCGAAATGTTTGCATTTTACGAGTACATTGTCAAATAGTGAAATAATACCTAAGAGCCAAAAATAACAAACTCCATGTTTTTTACACTGCGTTCCGTCTAGCATTGCGACGTTGTCAGATTTTATTTTACTTTAAAGCCGCTTTTCTCTAAAAAAATGCCGTTTTGACCCCCATGTTATATGAAACTTCTTGCTTCTTTCAACCCCCTCTATCACCCATTTAAATAATGACTATCATAACGTTTACACCCTGTATAAGTTCGTTAACCATAAGCTAGCTTACCCAGCGCAAGGATTTTCGGTTCGTTGACCAACCATGCCCCGTCCAGACCGTTCCGCCTGTAGATACACATGGTCCCATTGGCCAAGGCCACGAAAACATTATCACAATGGTACTTGATGTGCGTCACGGTGTCCGACACGATAGCCTCGGCGACTTGCTCCTGTTTTTCGGGCTCGTCACCGGCGTAGATCAGGAGTTTGTGCCTGTCCGTACCGATCCAGACTGTGTCCGAGGCCAGGGAAGGACAGGGTGACGGACAACCCTGAAACAGAACACAACATATTTTTTTTTGAATTGTGTCGCAATTGCAAGTCTACACAGAATTGTAAAAAAATAGATGATAGAAAATACAGGAAGGTATTTTGATCAAAACATGGAAATTGAAAAGAAAAGTGATAAACCTTCAAAATCAATAAATGGGTAGTAAAAAGATTGTGGGAGATAATAGGTTATGATATTGTAAGAAAAATGCAAGCTTAGCCATTAGCCATAGGTAGTTAAAGCAAAAGACAAGAACAAAAGTGGCTCTGGAACGAAAAATTAAGTCATACAGATATACAGGGTGGCCCATCCATGAGTGGACGGAATATTACTCATAAACAAATACATTTTGGGAAAATCTATTATTTACGGGATGTTTTACATGACATTTAACAGCACATTTAGAAAATATTGGCCATTTTACAGGGTGTCCCATTTCGACCTACATATCAAAGTTGAGATTTTTCAAATGGAATGCCTCAAATTTTATTACATACTGGGATAAACCAATTCAAAAGAAGAAAACTGATATAACATACTATGGGGTTTTGGTAATTAGCTACTGAAATATAAGGTGTTTTGTCTAGAAAAACCCTCCACTTCGGCAACCCCTCAGTCCGCCATTTTCAAATTTGGAGTGCTGAATTTTGTATCGAAAACACTTACACGCATCAGCTTTTACCTTATTTGTTACGTTTTCGAATTTTAATTTTTCCTCATACAGGGTGGTCAAAAACGCAAATTGTAGTTTTTCTCAAAAAATTCAAATGCATCACCCTGTATATTTGTACAAGTTTGGATTCAACTTTTTATAAGCTTTTTTTTGATACTAGATACATAAGGGTTTTTACGGCTATTTTTTTGGTTATTAGCACGTCTTTTATGGAACGGCTCAATTCCCTAAAATATCGCATCCTTGGAAACAAATACATTGTTGATTAGTTAAAAACTGCCAAAATAAGGTTTATGAGCATTATAATAAAAACGTTTGAAAATGAATTTTTCTATAGAAGAAATGGTGAATATGGTGTTCGTTTTGGGCGGTGAAAATTCCAAAAATAACAAATAAGATAAAAGCTAAGGTGTGTAAGTTTTTTTGATACAAAATCCAGCACTCCAAATTTCAAAATGACGGATTGAGGGGTTGCCGAAGTGGACGGTTTTTATGGACAAAACAGTAGCAAATTACTAAAACCTCATAGTATGTTAAATCAATCTTCTTCTTTTGAATTGGTTTATTCAAATATGCAATAAAATTTGAGGCATTCCTTTAAAAAATCACAACTTTGATATGTAGGTCAAAATTGGGGCACCCTGTATAATTACCAATATTTTATAAATGTGCCCTCAGATGTCATGTATAACATCCCATAAATAGATTTTCCCAAAATGTATTTGATTATGAGTAATATTCCATCCACACATGGATGGGCCACCCTGTAGGTAGTCTGTTAATATAATAATACAGCAAAACAATCATCCTTAGCCATTTACGTACAAGACGCAACACCATTAACAAAATTAAACGATGAAGCGGAACTAACGTTAGAAGAAGATTATGAAATTAAAATTGGTAGTACAATCAAACCTATATACAGCAGACGCTCGATAATGTAAACTAATTTAATCCAAGTGTGGTTCACATTATCGAAATATTTACATTAGCGAACGTGATTTATATAATATTTGATTTATTAAAAGAAACGTTTAATACATACCATTTATAACAAAATAAACAAATATTCTAACAGCGATAAGTATTTTTTTAATTAGAAGAAAAATAATTAACAATTTTTGTCTGCGTAAATTTGCGCTTAGCATTGTCTTCCAATGCCTGCGCCCGTAATTTACGAAGAACTAAAATATCCGTGTATGAAACTTCTTTTCTTTCAGCCCAATCTAAAGCTTGGTTAAAAACTTGTATAGCTTGCGCGTCAGTCACTACACTTCTGACTTCAATGGGATCGTTCTCATCATCCTCACTGTCCATATCCTCCTCCTTATCAGCATCATTCGTCTGCTTATCTTCGTTCCATAAATTAATATCAGCAGGAATACAAACAATGTTGGGATTCACTGTTTTCAATAAATCAACAACATCCTATGACACACTAATAACATTATCATTATTGGATCGCAAACGTTCTCTAATTACGCTTAAGGGGACATCGTCTTCATCATCTTCATTATTGGTACAAAAGAGATTGTTCCAACATTTTTGAAAGGTTTGCTGGTTAAGTTCATTCCAGGCATTATGTAAATCTAAAACAGCTTCTCGTAATGTTACTTTTTTTTAAAGCCTCAGTAAGTTTTCAGGATTCTTTGATAAGACAGACAAAAGTAGAAACTTCATATAGTATAGTTTGGTGAGTCTTATTATATTCTGGTCCATCGGTTGAATTAACGGTGTTACGTTGACGAAAATTGACCCATCCCTGCTCCTCAATTGTTGCTCGGGAGGATGACTTGGTGCATTATCCAATAGTAACAACGCTTTTATTGGAAGCTTCTGTTGTTTTAGGAAACCTTTTACCTACAAATTGAAAACACATCTTCAAATTATGAATAGAGCATTTGTGATAATTGATTGTCATACCTGAGGGACAAAGCACCTGTGGAACCATTTCAGGAATATACTGCTAGTCATCCAAGCGGGATATTAACATTTTTAAATGAGCGCGGATTTTTTGCTTTCCCAATTACCAGTGGCTTTATTTTGTGTGAACCATTAGCATTAGCGCAGGCTAGAAATGTTATTCGTTGTTTCTCCGGCTTTCTTCCCGGGGCAGATTTTTCAAATGATGCAGCATATGCTTTCTCTGGTAACATTTTCCAATAAAGGCCACTTTCATCTGCGTTGTAAATTTGTTCCATTCTTAAATCTAGCTCGGTAATTGTTTTCATCAATTTTTCTTTGAATTGTTGCATTAATTGTGGTTGTGCTGATAATTTTTCACCAGATATAGACAGCAGTCGAATTCCATATCTTGTTTTGAATCGTTGTAGCTAGCCATCACTAGCTACGAAATTTTCAGTTTCTTTCAGTTTTTCATTTAACAGTCTCGCTCTCTGTTTAAGTACTTCGCCACTAACTGGGACATGATGAAATAGATGGAGAAAATTGTTGTAAAAGCATCGCTGCATAATTTACAGTTCAAGTTCCACACCAGGGGATTGGAAACATATTTTTTGTTGAAGGATTAAGGAATTAAGGACCTTATATTTTAGATCCAAGTGCTATTTAATTTTTATTATGTTCATTTTAATGTAATACAGGTACTGTAGCTTATAGCTAAATAAGCACCCATTCTCTGCTTATGAATTCAACTTGGAATCTAGAGTATTCCATTTGATATCCCTGCTATGGATAATCTTTGCTTTCTGTAAAAGTTGTGGTGTTTGAGGCTTATTGTGAATCTAGAAACACCCAACAGTATTTTGAATGCGTTTTTACTGCAAACTTGCAATATTTACCCAACACGGAAAACCGAAATTTCGTATTGTAAAACTTCATCTAAACAGTCAAGGACGCGGTTATAATATAGAGTGACCTACCTTGACGAACTCCATCGCGGTGACTTGAGTTTCCACCAAAGAAAACGACGTGAGATCCTTGAGAACGCCGGCCTGTTGATGATGTTGAGCCAGAATAGAGATGTGACTGCTAGCGCCGTCTGAAGTGCACACCCAGAGGTAATTTTGGACGCGATGCCGACGTCTTGCCGTTTTCGGGACAGTCACAGTGTAGTAGCATCCACAGCGCACCTGAAATAAAACGTTTTGTGTAACTTTACACCTAATATTATACAGGGTTCTGCTAGTTACAATCAAATTCAATCGGCTCCACGGCACTCATTTTTCCTATCTCTCAAATTGTTGTTCACTAAACATTCCTGTAGCGGATGCGCTTATCAAACATTTCTATTCAGGTTACTTTCTTTGCGCGCTGGTACCGAGGTGTGTGCCCACGAGGCGACGTGGTGTAATTAGAAAGCAATTGAGTATTATTTACCAATCCGGTTTGTTTGACTGAAATGTTTTTATTATTTTCGCTGTGTGCTTGGGGTCGTTATCGTGCTGGAACCGCCAGCGTGGAGGCATGTTTCCTTCTGCGTAAGGTAGCATGGTATCAGTTAGTATTGCCAAGTATTTGCACCGGTCCATAATTCCTTCAATTTTGACGATGTGTCCCATTTGAAGATCACAGAACCTTCCCGCCGCCGTGTTTGATTGTGCCCAAAAGGAACTTAGGATCAAATCGCTTGTTTTTAGGACGTCTTCTGACCAATCCACATGATATAAGGAAATTTAAGCGGTCCAATTTATTTACAAAATGTTTCTCCACTTTTTCTCGTTGAACAAAGAACCGACCATATTATATTGAAAAAAAAAATGTATACAAAGATAAGCATTTCATTATCTTGAGACATAAAAAACTTTAGTGTACAGTTTTGGGTTAGAGTAAATCTTTCTGGATTTTAATTTTTTGTAATGTGGTTTGTTTCTCTACTTTTGCTCGGTACTGTACGTGTCATGCATATAATCAGAATGGAGAATACTGCCAATATTCTGTTACAATTTGGGTAATTTAAAATACGTACCTCTGTTTGATGCTGTGACCGGTATACAGTCTGCGACTTGACAAACAGCGGCATCTTCGTCGACGGCCTCTGCTCCTGCTCAGGTACTTCCCAGGCGGGCGAATTATTCGGATCTAACGCCAGTTGAGCCAGCCTCAGCTCCGTTATCCACTCTTTCTTTACGGAAGGATTGTCCGTTTGGAAGGTGAAGGTTTCCTCTTTGCCCTTGGATTTTACCAGCAATTGGAGACAGCACGAGTCCACCCAAGCCATCTCCTCGTCCTTTTGCTGGATAGAGCTCTGGATCTGGTGCAGGATACGCCTGGCGTTTTCCAGGTTTATGTCTTTGTATTGACCTTTTAGCTGACCTGTAATTGCACACAAGTGTCAATTTACAACAGAAAAAAATGATGAATGAGTTATTAATAATTTATTATTTCAGCCGCATTAATTTTTTTTTCGCGAAGTTCTGCTCCAGTTGTTATTGGACCAGCCCCATAAACCATCCGTTTAAGTTCTTTCCAATACCAGAAATCCATCGGATTGAGATCAGGAGATCTTGGTGGCCATTTTCGAGGATCAGGAGCATTTCGACCGATCCAGCGATTTGGATAATGTTCATTCAAATACTGAATGACGTCTCTAAAAATGTGTGGTGGTGCCCCGTCATGGAGAAACCACAAACTTTGTCTCCGTTGCAATGGCATGTTGTCTAAGGTCTGTTCCAAAAGTTCTGGTAGGTTATTGGTTAGAAAGCTAAGGTATCCTTCTCCTAACAACTTTGGGGGTAACTCGAAAGGGCCAATTACCTGATCGTCAAGAATACCCGCCCAAATATTTATTTTAAAACGTTATTGGAAATGACCTTCACGAATGGTATAAGGATTTTCTTGGGCCCACGTATGAGTATTATGGAAATTTAATATCCCGTCTCGCGTAAAAGTACATTCGTTCGTCGCTAGAATGTTTTTAGAAACACAAGGCCTGCACTCGTTGTACATGGTAAGGATAAAGCAAATTTTCCCGTAGGATTCTATGGACTATGGTATGCGATAGTCCCACGCGGCAGCCTAATTCCCGAGTGCTGATATCTGCATTGATTTCCACGATATTTAAAATTTGTTCCTCCTGCTCTACAGTAACCTGTCTTTCACGAGTGCGAATATTAGTGGGCTGAACACTTCCTGTATCTCACACTTGCACAAATGTCCTGACGAGCTTCACCGTAAACTAACAACATGTCGGCGAACTCTTGATTCGAGAACATTGTAAATAATCACGACGACGTACGCGAACAAAAACAAAACAACATACTAACCACTGTTACCGTTTGCGATCGATTGCCGGTTCGATAAGAGTGATGAAAAACCGACGCGCTGTTGTCATGGGTGTTTTTAATATTTAATTTAATGAAAATTACTTACTTACTGACTAGAAATTTTGGCTTAACTTAGAAAAACTTAATGCCATTTATTTGTTAATTACCCAATTCAGAAACGTTTTAGATTAGATTATGAAGATTAGTAAGATTGTGGTGATTGTAGTCGATATAAAGCATTTAAGGTTGTAAACTATAAAACCATTTAGACAAAAATCTATTGACTTTTGGACCATGGGTCATATGAACTTTTTGACTTGTTTTGACTTGTGCAGAGTCGATAATTATTATTGTTCACCTTTAAGGCCTCCCCAAGACAATTTAATTTGAATGCAAATCTTCTAGGCGGGCATATTTTTTCCTCTCGGACTGAAGTATCTAAAAAGCATCGTTACTTACTCGCCAAATCGCTTATCCTGCTCAACACCTCGTAATCGTGCATCAGATTGCTCATCTCGACGCACAGATTGTTCGCGTCTTGAGGAGGAGTACCCTCAAAAGATCCATTCGACTTGACGCTGCCTCCTTTGGGGTAGCTCGAGGTCAATATCCTACTGAGCGTGGGCGAAGTGCTGGCGTCCTGGATCTCAATCTCGGACACAGGGTGGGTCCATTTGAGGCTCAGTCTCTCACTGGCTCCGAAATCATCGGAGGATTTTGAGGCGACTGACACGCACACCACCAGGTCGTTGAGTAGCAACAGTCTTCTGCTCTTTGTTTTTGTTATTAGGCCGGTTTGGCTGTATTCCTGGGGACAGAAAAAATCATTTAAGGAAAAAACCTATATAATGGGTTGTCCAATAGGGACGCAGGAAAGTAAACGTCAATTTGACATAGACGCCATCTTTGTTTTCTGTCACCGACATGTCATTTTGTTAGTTGAATGTTTACCATTGATCGCTATGGAGTCGTATTCGATTGAAGACCGCATCAAAGTTATTCAAGAGCACTACAAAAATGGTGCAAAAATAAAAAACACACGTTTCGCGCGCTTCGTGAACATTTCGGTTGCAACAACCGCCCAAACGAAACAACCGTCGGTCGTCTGGTGCGTAAATTCGAGGCAACAGGTTCTGTGGCAAATCTGCCAGGCTCTGGCCGGCCAAGGAGCGTTCGCGCACCGGAAAATATTGCTGTTGTGAAGGAGAGTGTGAGAGACGATCCGAAACAATCAACAACGCGTCGATCCCAAGAATTGGGCATTTCGAGAACCAGTTTGCTCCGCATTCTCCACAAGGATTTGAATGTACACGCCTACAAGATCGAATTGACGCAAGAGCTGCGTCGGGCCGACCATTTTTCGCGCGCCGAACGTTCTCAGATTGGCTCCTTGAACACCGCCAAATTGATGCCAATTTTTCATCAAATATCATGTTCAGCGACGAAGCGCATTTCACTTTGAATGGGACGGTAAACAAGCAAAACTGCCGCATCTGGGCGAACGAAAATCCCCGTGAGTATCAAGAGCAGCCGATGCATCCTCAAAAAGTGACTGTGTGGTGTGCATTGTGGTCAAAAGGCATCATCGGACCCTACTTTTTCGAAAATGCGGCCGGGGATGCCGTTACCGTCAATTCTAAGCGATATCACGTGATGATAGAGGACTATTTTTGCCGCAACTTGAAGGAATGGATATGGACGATGTTTATTTCCAACAAGACGGTGCAACATGCCACACAACCAACGTCAATAACCATCGATTGCAGTTCTTCTTCGGTGATCGCGTGATTTCACGCAGAGGAAATGTGCCATGGCCACCAAGATCGCGCGATTTGACTCCCTTGGACTTCTTTTTATGGGGATATTTGAGAAGCAAAGTCTACGTCAACAAACCAGCCACTCTCCAAGAACTCAAAAACAACATCATTGCCGAGATAAATGCCATAGAACCGTCTGTAAATCCAGTCGTGGTGAACATTTGAGCGATATTATTTTTCATACATAAATGGTATAAATGAACCTTCAAAATAAAGTACCCAACTTGATTTGAATATCAATCTTTCTTGTTTTAATATGCGTTTACTTTCCTGCGTCCGTATTGGACAACCCCATAGTTAAAAAAAACAATAAAATGTCAACTTTTAGAAATGATATCGGTATCATCTAGTTGAAAAACCTTTGATCAAATCACGAAACATACTGGCGCTTCAGCTACTGAAGATCGGGCCAGGCAAAGTAATCAGCTTCAACAGTGTATCAACATATTTTCCATTCATATTTTTGCACCTTTCAAATATAGTTCACGACAGAGTTATAGTGTAGTAGTATGGTCATTATACAGGGTGTTTGGTGCATCGTTTGCCAAACTGAAATGGCGGACAGGTTAGGTCTTTTTCTATCACCCCAGGTCCCTCAAACAGTTTTTAGCCCAACGGCATTAATTATGTAGATTTTTAAATTTGTTTAGTGAAAACTCCAAAATGTAATACACAAAGTGAAATAAAAAAAAATAAAGAGTATGTCCACCTAATGATTAATTTATCTTGATGGGTGATGTTGTACCAATCTTACAAAATCAACATTACTTGCCAGCAGCATGTAAATTTTTATTTATAAGCTCACAAAGGGTTACAAAGAAGAACAAAAAAATTTAAGTCTCAATTTGAATTTCTGTAAAAAAAAACTAAAAGTGTTCACGTTCTTAGAATTCTTTTAAAAGCTACTCTAGTTTATTCCGATTCTAACGGTATGCCATCACATGTATAAATTGCTTTCATATACCGAATATGCACAATTCTTACATTAACTCTGTAATAATGTTGTATAGAAAGATTTTATAATGCGGCCCTCCAAACTGCATTTTTTTGAAGTGGCCCTTGGGCCACATTAAGTTGGACAGCCCTGATCTAAATGATGTTTTTCCGAATGCGTGGATTGGACGAGATGGTCCTATTCCATGGCCTGCACGCTTCCCAGACCTAACACCATTGGATTTTTCTATCTGGGGACGTGCAAAAGCACTCTTCTACGCGACAGAAGTTGGAACAAGGGGGGAGTTGATCGGAAGAATAGAACAGGCGTTTGATACGATTCGGCACGAAATTCGCCTACGTACGACAACGGTCGAGATAAGACAAGGGTGTCGTGCGTGTATACGCAATAGAGGACAACAATTCGAACAAGATTTGTGAAACAGAAAAAATAATAAATGATTGAAATTTGATTTTACACTTTTTTTTATTTTCCTTCCCCTGTACACAAAATTTGCAAATTCAAGTAATTATTTCAACTTTTTTGTGACTTGTAGCATACCGTTAGAATCGGGATAAACTGGAGTAGTGCCTAAAAGAATTCTAAGAACGTGAACGCTTTTAGTTTTTTTTTACATTTTTTTGTTCTTCTTTGTAACCCTTTGTGAGTTTATAAATAAAAAACTACATGCTGCTGGCAAGTAATGTCGATTTTGTAAGATTGGTACAACATCACCCATTAAGATAAATTAATCATTATGTGGACATACTCTTTATTTTTTTATTTCACTTTGTGTATTACATTTTGGAGTTTTTACTAAAAAAATTAAAAAATCTACATAATTAATTCCGTTGGGCTAAAAACTGTTTGAGGGACCTGGGGTGATAGAAAAAACCTCCTCAGTCCCCCATTTAATAATAATAATAATAATAAAATGTCTTTATTAGGCACATTATATAAACTACAACATAATGTGACCTCTACGTAGGCGAAGTCTAGCTCTTGGCTACTCTACTTAACCTACCCAAATAATAAATTGAAATACTTAATCAAAGGAAACTTTGACAAGCAGCAAAAGACGCTTCAAAACAATGAGCTTGATAGCTTCCTGACATACATAATATATACACACATATATTACGTAAAAATAAAATAAAATATAAGAATTAAAAACTTTTCCACAATTACTACAATGACAAATAAATCTGTTTCACATGCTTACGAAATCTGTTTACTAGCCAATCCTTTATATTGTCATCTAATTCGTTATAAATCAGGATAGCATTGTAAGTGTATGAACTACGAAATAAAGTTGTTTCATACATAGGGATTTCTAGTCTTTTTTTGTGTCTGAAATCAATGTCTGAATTGTTTCGTCTGAAAACAAATTTCTCGTAAAGATACAAGGGGGATCGAGAAGATATGATCTTATGTGTAAACACTGCTATATGGTACTTGCAAGCATTTTCTATACACATCCAACCAAGCTGAAATCTCTTTAAGGAAACATGATCATACTTCTTGAGATTAAATACAAATCGACAACAAGTATTTTGGAGTTTTTGGAGTCTTGCTTTTGTGATAGAATCAAGACAATGATAGAACACAGTACTACAGTAAAATAAGCTTGGAAATATAATAGCCTCACATAACTTTTTTCTAACTTTAAAATTCAAAATAGAGCGATTGACATAAAAACACCTCAAAGTTGCATAACATTTTTTTAAGATAGACGAAACATGCTCCTTAAACCGTAAAGTATAATCAATAATCAACCCTAAATTTTTTGTAGTATTTACGACAGCTAGACGCTCCTTGTCGATTTTTACATCAAGAGAATTGAATATAATGTTACGTTTGACAGCAGGACAAAAAAGCATCACTGAGCACTTATCCTTATTGAGCTTAAGATTGTTACCATTTGAGTATCCTACTATTGCCTCCAAATCATCATTAAGCTCATTGATTGAAGTATGTAAAGTGTTACTATTAAAGCTCTTATATATCTGTGTATCATCGGCATAGCACATCACAGAAGAGTTTTTCACAGAGCTACCCAAGTCTATAGTATAAATTAAGTACAACAAGGGCCCTAAAACTGAACCCTGAGGGACACCTGATGTTATATCAATCGGACTAGATATAGTGTTGTCTATTTCTACTACTTGTTTACGATTTGAAAGATATGTTATAAAAAACATTAGAGGTATGTCTGAAAAACCAAAAAACTTCAATTTAGCACATAAAAGTTCATGATATGTTTTATCGAACGCCTTAGAATAATCTAGTGCTACAAGTGCTGAAGCATCTCCCTTATCAAGCGAAGCAATGATGTCATCTAAAACCCTTGCTAAAGCTGTAGTTGTACTAAAACCACTGCGGAAACCAGATTGACACTTGGGAAAGAAATCATTATTAGAGAAATAATGATAAACCTGATGTTTAATCAATTTCTCCAATATCTTCGATATAACAGGAATCAAAGTTATAGGTCTTAAGTCTGAGAGACATTTTGGATTTTTACATTTAGGCAAGTGCTTGACAAGAGATAGTTTCCAAGCATCAGGAAAATACCCAGCCTCCAGGCAACAGTTCAATAAATGCGTCAATGGTAGTAGTACTCGAGGCAAGCAATGCTTCAGCATTGAGACTGTTATACCATCCGAACCTGCTGCATTAGATTTTAGGGACAGAATAATGTCTAGCACATTTTGTGGGGTAGCAAAACTAAATTCAAATCTAGCACTTTCATTAATTTTGGTACTATTAAGTTTATCAACTAGATCCTTGCAATTGCCCGAAGGTGTGAAAACGGAAGAAAAATAATTGTTTACTTCATCGGCATTTTTCAACTGCGTAGGTAAAGATCTATCTACATTAGTTTTGAGTTTCAATGAATGTACAGCTTTCCAGAGATGCTTGTTACTATTTAGTTGTTCATTGAAGCTTAGATATGCTGCTTTCTCCCGCCTAATAGCGGAAATGACATCATTTCTTAATTTCTGGTAATATTCGAGACTAGCTGGACTTTTTAAAATCTGATACTTTCTGGAGGCTTTATCTCTCTCAGAGATCAAAAATTTTATGCCACCTGTGAGACATGGAGCATAAGGTTTAGTAATACGTGCTGAAACAACAGGAGCATGGACTCCAAAATATGATTAGAAAAAAACGTAGCTTTATCCTCTAAGTTACTGATGTAATATATATCATCCCATGGGATTTTATACAAATCCACCAAAAACTGATCTTTACAACAATGTTTAAAGTCTCTATATTTGACAGCCTTTTGAAAATTCTTACGTCGTGTGATGTTGAAGTCACATCTGACTACATTATGATCTGACAAATTCGGAACAGGTGCAGAGCTAGTTGAAATTAATGATTCAGCTAAGTTATTTGTTGTACAAATGACATCAATTTGGCAAACGATGCACCAAACACCCAGTATGGTACAGGTCTAAATAATCATTCATCTGTATAAATTATACATTTAATCAAGTGCAAAGCTCTAAAAGTTCCATTGCGTTGTTTTGATAGGGGGATAGCAACAAATTCACATAATTTGACTGTGCTATAATACCGATACGACACCGCTAGACTCTACCTCCTTTCCTCGTCCCTCACCCCCACAAGCTAGCAGGTGCGTTCAGATAAAACCGCCTTCTTGATTTTATGGCTCTTTAAATACACTATGAGTCTGTCGGGAACTATATTATGCTAGCATTTTCCTCTAATTTTTGTGTACTACGTTTGACCATTCAAATATTGTATGTTTATTAAACATATTAGTGTCTTACCAGCTGTGTGACGTTGTCTTCCCTGAGTAGATATCTATTACTATCAGACAAAGGTCTAGCTGAAAATTTGCCGCTGATATTTCGAAGCATCTCCTTGAATGCCTGATACTGCTCGGCTTCCCTTTTCCTTTCGTTCAACATTTCCGCTAACGATTCGAGCTGCGTCAATGCTAGCTGCAGAGACATCCTGTCGTGGTGGCCCTGGGGCGTGTGTTTCAATAAATCCTGCAAAAAACAAAAAAATACCATTCATATAATTGTACAACAGAAGAGTCCTAGTGCAATACCTTGCGGCACACCAATTTCTGAACATTCGTCAACTGTTATAATCGCGAAAAAAATCGTAATCCTAAAACGTGTTTACCACTAATTTCAGTCGGTCTGTCAGTCCGCTAATCCTTGTTTTAGCAGTTGAGTTACTTCGATGTCAAAGACGAAACAATTGGATTTTAAACGTAAGTCCCGAAGCTTGGTATTTGGACGTTTTTGATAATTCTTGGACACAGTCATTAACGCTTATTGCAAAGGTATTTTTAAAAAGTCCGAACTTCAATAACTAAGCACCTGAAACTTGCCATTGTGCTTGTTAGTGATGTATCTTCATGTTTCACTAACCACAGATGTAGAATTGAGGATTTATTAACGTTTCGATCACCCGGTATATTTTTGAAAGGATAGAAAAAAACTACATGGGTTACCTGTAAAAACAAGATGAACTGCGGAAACCTCTGAACTGGCTTCACCATCAATCCGAAGAATGATAACCGATCATGTGAACTGATCTGTTTCACCTGAAATATAATAAAAAATGTCCATGTATTCAAACTTTGGATATCATAATGCAAAATAATATCCTAGAAAATTATGGAATCTTCGCAAACGATTAGACTGTCTTGAAAAACTCATTTATTTGCAACTCATTAGGATCTATTGTCTATTTTTTCCTTCATTCTTGTCCTCAATACGTCTAAGTTTTAAAGGTGTTCGAAGCAGGGCTGGGAAGATATACAGGTATATCAAGTGATAACCAGTTAGGTGAGAAAAAGCTTGCCTTTATTGGGTACTTCAACAACTTAGTGCAAAGTGTACTCTTGTAACTTCATTATCTAGCTTTCGATGAACTATATCATCATCATCAGGAACTACAAAACATTTGGGAAACAGCAACTTCATTTGAATAATTGATTTTAAATTACTTAAAAAAGTAGGCGAGATTGCTGCTAAATATTGTTAGCCAAGTTAATGAGAACACTCTAGTAACCTGATGAAAACTGGATGTGTGGTCATTCTCACATGGCTATGTGTATTTTACAAATTTTAACTATTACTGCCATGAATCCAGTTTTCATCAGGTTACTAAGTGTTCTCATTATCACAATATAACATTTAGCAACAATCTCCCCTACTTTTGTAAGTAATTTAAGGTCAATTATTCACATGTAGTTGCTGTTTTTCAAATGTTTTGTAGCTCCTGATGATGGTGATATAGTTTATCGAAAGCTAGAGAATAAAGTTTCACGAGTCTACTTTGATCTAATTTGTCTGAGTATCCAATAAAGGCTGAAGCTTTTTCTCACCTAAATGGTTATTTAGACGACAATGTCCACGGCTCACGTTATATCACGTTATATCAAGATATATATATATATATATATACAGGGTGTCCGCAAAGTTGGGGTTTTCCTTTACACGACGTGTAGATCTTGAAAACATAAGCAATTTTTCTTAGTACCATATACACCAATGTCTTAAGGGAACCGAGATAAAGGGCTCTGCAACATCAAAAATATCTTAATACCGTCCTGTAGCCGCGACCCGCGATATCTCAGACTGGTACCGGCTACTAGCTGAACCCGACGACAGAACTGGGTCGGGGGTCGGGGTCAGTGTGTCAGGTCAGTCTGCAACCTTCAACCGACGGTAAAGGGTCACGCGTATAGAGGTAACGAACCCGTATAATCGATTGCGTTTCAAAAAAAATAAAAAATAATAATGCACACTCATACACCAATAATGAACTCGTTGATATGTTGTTAATTTATGGCGAATGTCTTCAAAATGATACAGAATCGTCGCGAGTGTATGCAGATCGTTTCCCTAGACGACATCATCCAAGGCCCCGCAGATTTGTGTATCACAGAGTCAGGGATACGGGCCATTTGAAGGAATTTCAAGGTGGGCACAGTGGGAGGCCTAGACAACCACGAATGGTGCAAGTTGAGGAAGAACTACTGAATCGCGTAGACGAGAATCCCTCAACAAGCACTAGAGACGTGGCTAGAGAAGTGCAAGTATCAAAAACTAAAGTGTGGCAAACGTCCAACGTGTACAAGCCCTTCAACCTGACGATTTTCCAGCAAGAGTGCGGTTTTGTGAGTGATTGTTGCATCAACATGACAATAATCCGGACTTTTTGAAGTGCATATTGGTGACAGACGAATCTACGTTCACGCACAATGGGGTGAATAACTTTCGATTTCAGGCAGAGACGTACTTAGCCCTTCTCGTCAACTGGAGAGTGAGTACTTTTTCCTTTATTTTTTTTTTACTTGGTCGCCCTCGTTTCACTACACATTACCTTTGTTATTTCAAGGGTAGTTGTTTCTGAAAAGGAAAACCCCAACTTTGTGGACACCCTGTATATATATGTATATATAGAGAGAGAGAGAGAGAATGATCATGCGGAGAAAAGTATATAACAAAAAGCAGGAAAATAATGGGCAAATTCCTCAAAATGAGGAAAGTGGGTTTGAGCAGAAAATAGGATAAGTAACCCGAGCGATACGTATTTCTGCTGGTTGGCTTCATCAGGCCCAAAATGAAGTGGCGATAACCGGCCGCCTGGTTGTGGTTAGATGGCTCCTTGAAAATTCGAGGTCTTCTAGCTATTTTATACTACAATGTGTAGGTTGGCTCTTGTTGTGGACTTCGTATGTCGTTTTTTCCCTCTCCATCTTTGTTTCCTCAGGTTACACCCGTATCCGGATGTGTGGGCATGTGTATCTACATTTGTAGTTTCATATGTGCATTCATTTCGGGCCTGATGAAGCCAACCAGCAGAAATACGTATCGCTCGGGTTACCTATCCTATTTTCTGCTCGAATCCACTTTCCTCCTTTTTGCGGATTTTGCACATTATTTTCTTGCTTATATATATATATATATATATATATATATATATATATATCATGATATTTGTAACTTGACATATATATCCGATACATTCAATAATTTTATGTATGTATTTTATTAAAATTAGAAATGTTCCATTCAAGTCGGAAAATTTTTCAGTAGGCCTCTGTTAGCTGTCACTGCCGAGCGAGCATCTCCGACCGGGGAATCCCCTGTTTCAGATCTGGTGTATCCCCGGCGTGTGACGTGATGATTTGAGTACTCATACAATATTTTCTTCAGTTCTTTTGTTCCATTTGTTATGATTCTTACATGAACAGTAAGCCCATTTCCAAAGAATTTTGTTTGGGACGATTTTAGGCCAAACGCGGTGGAAAATGGGTTACTTTATTGGACTTAAATTTGCCAGACAAGAGTTCATGTTTAAGAGACTGAAAGAACTTTTTCATCTTTAGGTTTGGTCCAATCTGGTTTACGAAATTGCTTAGGAAACCAAATTGGCCTGCATGTTTAAGTGCATGAATCAAAATATAGACAAAAAGAAAGGCAATCTTGAATGGGCATGGGAACCAGCTAGATTGAAGATTCTGGAGTTAATGTTACTAAGACCATTGTTGATACCAATTCATTAGATGAGGATATGCCAATATCAATGTGAATAAAATAAAAAAAATCATTCATTCGTTTTTGTAAATGTTTTTTTTTTGTGAGGGGTAAAATAAAAGTTTTTGTGCATCTGTGTCAAAATATAGTAGTTTATAGATAAAATAATGCTGGTTTTTAATTGTGTGATATGATATTTATATAATCATCATGATATTTTCGAACTCTGATTCTAAGTATAACTTCCAGTTGAATCTAGAATTCAATAACGTTTGGTTGTTTTAGCCTTGTGTCTAAAATCACCTCGATAGGTCCACTTTGCCGTGGATGCATGAAACGTACAACCTACATACCTTCAGAAAGTCAGCCAGGGCAGATTTTCTCTTAGCCTCCATCTTCGCAAGGTCCATGGCAACAGAAAAATTGTTGATGAAGCCGCTATAGATATCCAGGACGATAGCTTTGGAAAAGGAGGCCACAAATACGTCTCCTATCCTTTCGTCTCGGTCCCAATTTCTGACGCATTCAGCTAGAGCTATCCGGAACAAGGTATGGCACTGCAGTATCTCGGGCAGTCGGTGGAACAACGTTTGGATCTTGGAACTACTTAACACTGGCGGGTTGCTTTCTTCTAGCGGTTTCTTATAATCCTGGAAAGGAACATAACATAGGTATTATCAGTTTTAGGATCTCAGGTTGTAAGATTTTTCCTTAACGAAACGATCTAGGTGGTCCCAAATGAATATCTCGGGATGTGCTCCACAATTGAGCTGCGGTAGACGAAAATGAACGTTTTTCTGTCTACGCCAATGGTGAGGAAGTATTGTAATCGCAAAAAAGATATGTTTTTGGATGTTATAAATGTCATGTTAATCATTTCTGTCGGTTTGTCGGTCTGTCTCTCTGTCTGTCCGCTAGTCCTTTGCCCGTCTATAACTTGGAAAGTGCTGTTCGGATTTGCAAGGCGTGTACCAAGTATGAAAAGGTCTTGTACTTTTTGAAAATTTAGTGGCGGCCAGAACTAAGAGCAAACGACGAACGGAAAAAATAAAAACCGCTCAAACTTTTTTTGATATTTTGAAAGCTCCTGATCATTTTCAGAAAAAAGTTGTAAGTGGTAATAAAATTATGGTCGGCGTTGTTTGCTGTCGTTGACAGAAAACATTGGTGGTGATTGAAGAGCGGAGATGGGAGGGAGGTGTAATTGACCAAAAAATTTAGGGTGATGTGTCCCTAAAATACAGGGTGTCCGCAAAGTTGGGGTTTTCCTTTACACGACGTGTAGATCTTGAAAACATAAGCAATTTTTCTTAGTACCATATACACCAATGTCTAAGGGAACCGAGATAAAGGGCTCTGCAACATCAAAAATATCTGAATACCGTCCTGTAGCCGCGACTCGCGACATCCTCGAGTGGTACTAGGACACTAGCTCAACCCGACGACAGGACTGGGTCGGGGTCAGTGTGTCTGGTCAGTATGCAACCTTCAACCGACGGTTACGGTCACGCGTGTAGAGGTAAACGAACCCGTATAATCGATTGCGTTTCAAAAAACAACAAGCACTAGAGACGTGGCTAGAGAAGTGCAAGTATCAAAAACTAAAGTGTGGCAAACGCAGCGTGAAGAGGGGCTGTATCCGTTTCACGTCCAACGTGTACAAGCCCTTCAACCTGACGATTTTCCAGCAAGAGTGCGGTTTTGTGAGTGGTTGTTGCATCAACATGACAATAATCCGGACTTTTTGAAGTGCATATTGGCGACAGACGAATCTACGTTCACGCGTAATGGGGTGAATAACTTTCGCAACACTCATGTTTGGTCAGTAGAAAATCCGCACGCTGTCCGTCGGGCACATTTTCAGCAAACATTTTAAATTCATTTGTATACACGTTCGCAGTTGACTTTTTTCTGAAAGGATCTAACTCATGCTTAGCATGATTTTTATGATCTAAATGATGGCCTTGCGTGGTAAGTGCAGAGTTGACGCACTTAACACCATTTTTCCATATAAGTATACAGGGTGTCCGCAAAGTTGGAATTTTCCTTTACACGACGTGTAGATCTTGAAAACATAAGCAATTTTTCTTAGTACCATATTCACCAATGTCTTAAGGGAACCGAGATCAAGGGCTCTGAAACATCAAAAATATCTGAATACCGTCCTGTAGCCGCGACATCCCCGACTGGTACTAGGTCACTGGCTCAACCCGACGACAGAGCTGGGTCGGGGTTAGTGTGTCAGGTCAGTATGCAACCTTCAACCGACGATTACGGTCACGCATGTAGAGGTAATCGCGTAGACGAGAATCCCTCAACAAGCACTAGAGACATGGCTAGAGAAGTGCAAGTATCAAAAACTAAAGTGTGGCAAACGCTGCGTGAAGAGGGGCTGTATCCGTTTCACGTCCAACGTGTACAAGCCCTTCAACCTGACGATTTTCTAGCAAGAGTGCGGTTTTGTGAGTGGTTGTTGCATCAACATGACAATAATCCGGACTTTTTGAAGTGCATATTGGTGACAGACTAATCTACGTTCACGCGTAATGGGGTGAATAACTATCGCAACACTCATGTTTGGTCAGTAGAAAATCCAGCACGCTGTCCGTCGGGCACATTTTCAACAAACATTTTCGGTGAATGTTTGGGCTGGCATGGTGAACGGTATGCTCATTGGACCATTTATTCTCCCAAATCGATTGGACGGGATGCAATACTTTTTACGCAACATTTTGCCTTCCTTGTTTGCCTGCGTCTGCTCGGTAGCGCATCAGCTGATTTCATTTTCTGTTGGAGCGGTATGATTTCGGGCAGAGACGTACTTAGCCCTTCTCGTCAACTGGAGAGTGAGTACTTTTTCCTTTATTTTTTTTTTACTTGGTCGCCCTCGTTTCACTACACATTACCTTTGTTATTTCAAGGGTAGTTGTTTCTGAAAAGGAAAACCCCAACTTTGCGGACACCCTGTATAGTAAGCGGTTTCAGAAATCAGAATTAGTTCTTCAGTATGAGAGGTTATACCTACATTTACTAGCCTTTGAAGAGTAGCTATATACGAATTTTCACTATGTACAATCGCAGCTACGATCATCCTCCTCTTTAACTGTTGTGGGGTCAAATTCTGAGGTGGTGGGGGTAGAGTTGGAGGCAACTGCCTTCTTTGGGAGGAGGTGCACGGGGGAAAGTGGAAAGCTGCTTCTTCTTCAACCTGCAAAATGAAATTTATATTTCAAATAATGGAATGAAAGATGGTAGTAGTATCGTACTTAATAATAAAAATATACAACGTGAAATGAAGACATTTTTGCTAATTGTTGTTTACGTTCAGGATGACCATTGTACCATCTATCCAGCTTTCACCATGTTACTGGGCGTTTCCCTCATCCTGAACGTAAACAACAGTTAGCAACATCCTCACATACTACTGTAAGTTAAGTCAATTTAAATTCATTTTACACTATTGTTGCTACTATTATCAATGTAATTGCAGCTCCTGATGATGATGGCAAAGTCCATTGAAAGCTAGAGAGAATTAAACTCTTTGCTTAAATTTTGTCGAAGTACCCAACAAAAGACGGAAGCTTTAATTTTTCACCTATATATATATATATATACACATACATGTATACACACACATATATATATATATATATATATATATATATATATATATATCATGCGCCTATAAATAATATTAGCTTCTCAACGTAATAAATATAAAGTCTGATTGGATGATGAATGTGGAAAGGATAGTATCAGTCAAGCAGCCTGATCCTTACATGCTTACGAAAACTTGCTTAGCTCATACATTCAAAGGAATATTCCAACGAATTATATAGAACTGCCGAATTATAAGAAAAACTGCGGGTGAATAAGACTGTAGAGTGAGGCGGAATTCTGATACTCAACCTATCTCTAACCAACCGATCATGAACAACAAAGTTAAATGGAATTTTTTCTCTCAAGTAGGCGGGCTTCAAAGTGGTTATTACTTTGTGAATAAATACTAGATGGTGATATTCGACCAATTTATCAAATTTGAGCCATTTCAGCGTCCTGTATTTCTGTGGTACCTGGTCAAATTTTCTCAATCCACATATAAAGCGGATACAATATTCTGTATAATTGAATTCTATTTTTCGCTATTTTGTCAAGGCATGGGAAATAAAGGATGTTACAGTAGTTCACACAAGACATCACTAGCGTTTCACACAGTTTTTTCCTGAGCTTATAGTTCAGAAAGTACCTAGAAGAGTACAAAGTGCGTAGGCGGAGGTAGGCTTTTTGAGCAAGACAGTTGATATGATTATAAAACCTTAACTTCTCATCGACCTCGACACCTAAAATCTTGGCAGTAGTACCAACCTGAAGAAGATTTCTGTCAATAAAGATATTAAGATTACCTTTGACGTAGTTTCTTTTATTATCAGAACAGAAAACTATGATTTTTGACTTCTCAGGATTAACTAATAAATTATGATTGGCTGAATATTTACAAACCATGTCAATATCATGTTATAGCTCTATATTAGCTGTTGATAATTCACTAGCTTTAAAATAATGTACGATTTGGGTATCGTCTGCAAAAGATTGCATTTCAGAACTTTCCATTACTGTATATAGATCGAAGGTGTAGATGAGGAATAAGAGAGGACCTAGGATAGATCCCTGAGGCACTCCAGATGGTGATGACACTTGGGACAGAGCTCTGTCTAGATAGAGAAACTTCCTGAACTCGGTCGGTTAAATACGCACAGAAAAATTTAAGTGAGGTATTATTAAAGTCAATATATTTCAATTTAGCTAGAAGAAGGATATGATTGATTCTATCAAATGCCTTAGAGTAATCAACCGATATCAAAGCTACTGTGATCTTTTTATCAAGCGCACGTAGCACATTGTCGCATAGATTTAGTAAGGCAGCTGTTGTACTATAGTGTTTTCTGAAACCAGACTGATTAGTGGATAAGATTTTGCATTCTTCAATGTAAGCAGTAAGATTTTTGATACCACCGGCAATAAACTTATTGGTCGTAAATCTGAAAGCTGGGTTTGTTTGTTAATTTTAGGGATAGGAATAACTAAGGTATGTTTCTACAGAGTGGGAAAGTAGCCTTTCTCAATACATGATTGATTAGTTCCTCATAATAGCTGCGCTACCGTGGTATTTAGGCTTCAGCCTACTTGGCCACTTGTTTTAAAAAACTAATCCGAGAATCAAGATGAATACTAACCTCGGGCAGCAAGGGCATCTTTCCGCCCCCCTGATGCTGCGGCGTCCGTTGTACGCCATCCCCCTGGGCGTTCTCGATGTCATACTGATGGTTGCTGCCCCTGCGTATCGAGAACCACCTGGACAGCCTTCCTTGATTTTGGGGCGACGTGTCGCCGGGCAGCACCGAACCGCCGTCCAGCGACAGCCGGTTGTGGGCGGCGGCAGATGCGCCGGAAGTGGGGCTGCCGCCGCCGCCCCCACCGTTCTGCCCTCCGCGCCACTTGTCGCACAACGTCCGCGCTTTGTTCAGCGTGTTGCGCAGTTGACCATTTGATCTGGAAAAGAAAGAAAAATGTGTCAATATGGTTGATTTGGCCTTAAGGCTCGCCAGTACCACTATAGGTTGATTCTCACTATACATTCCGTTTCCATTCCATATCAGTTTCGTAAACGTTCCGTACAATGTGATTGTATACACAGTATACTTTACGCATAATGTGCATACACACGCAATAGCCTGCTTTAAGCGAAGGTGAATATTTAATTTCAATAACACTGATCAACAGCCAAAAAATATCCTGAATAAAATCAACAAAATATTACTATTTTTAATGTGCTAAAACCGGAATGAAACTTATTTTTTCAATATTAGTTCAAGTTTTAGAGATACGGTAATTATGTGTTCCTGCTGTGACAGTGTTAATATACTGTAATTCACAAGAATGCACGTGCTACATTTTTATATTCGGCAAGGAAAGATGATGTAATCGGCATGATTGTGTTACGTTATACATACGTGTACATTATATTTTTTTATATTAGCCATTTTTTCCTCAGTTGGCTGACAACGTTCATGCAAGATGTCTCGAAAGTGTGTAAACAATCCAGATCAGTTTTGTTACGTGTGTGGTGATGTGACTTTTGCGTCTCAGAGACGGTCTATTACTCCACTAATAACAAAGGCATATCAACTTTATTTCGGTTGTAAACTAGGTGATCAAGACAAACAGTGGGCAACCCACATCTGCTGTAATACATGTGCTTCAAGTCTGAGGAGCTGGTTAAATGGCAAAAAACGGTCTATGCGCTTTGCTGTCCCAATGGTTTGGAGAGAGCCTACAAATCATATTAATGATTGTTACTTTTGCATGGTACCTTGTGTTGGACAAGCCACAGGTATGTCCAACAAAAAAAAATCGGTTATTAACTACCCAAACATACCATCTGCGATGAGATCTGTGACTCACAGTGACGAAAATCCTATTCCAAAACCCCCAGAATCCTACACTTGCGAATCAGAAAACGAATCAGATCATGGCGATCGAGTGATTCGTCAGGAAGAAGATATGCCATCAACGTCAAGAGATCCTGATTTTATACCGAGCACGTCATGCCACCAACCGCACAAAATAACACAGTCAGAATTCAATGATCTAGTAAGAGATTTAGAACTTCCAAAATGTAAGGCAGAGTTACTTGGATCAAGACTGCAGCAGTGGAACTTGTTAGAAGACGATGTTTCGGTATGTGTTTTTCGTAAGCGCCACAAAGACTTAGAACCATTTTTCAATATGGAGAATAACTTGGTTTTCTGCAATAACATTAACGGCTTACTGGCGGCTTTAAATATAAACTATAACCCAGAAGAATGGAGATTGTTTATAGACAGTTCAACATTGAGTTTAAAGGCAGTGTTATTGCATATTGGAAATATTTTACCATCTCTTCCTGTAGGGTATGCAGTTCACATGAAAGAATCATATGACAATATGAAGTACCTATTGACATGCATAAAATAGAGCACCAATGGCATATTTGTGGCGATTTGAAAGTTGTTGCACTTTTACTTGGGCTGCTGCTAGGCTACACAAAGTTTTGCTGTTTTTTGTATGAAGGGGACAGTCGGACAAAGGCACTTCATTACACCAGACAAAACTGGCCTGTTCGTCAATTCCTAGAGCCAGGTCAAAAAAATGTACAGCATACGCCATTAGTAGGTTCGAAAAAAATTTTATTACCACCACTGCATATCAAGTTGGGCCTAATGAAAAACTTTGTCAAGGCATTAGATAGAGATTGGGTCAGCTTTTCAATACCTGCGTCAGAAATTTCCAAGACTAAGTGAGGCAAAGGTTAAAGAAGGTATTTTTGTTGGGCCACAGATTCGAAATATTTTGAAAGATACACAGTTTGAAAACACTTTAACAGGTATTGAAAAAACTGCTTGGAATGATTTCCGTCTGGTGGTTACTAATTTCTTGGGAAATAGAAAAGCTGACAACTATAAAACCCTTGTCAAAAATATGCTGTCATCGTATCAAAAGATGGGCTGTAATATGTCTCTTAAGATACATTTCCTACACTCACACCTGGACTTTTTTCCTGACAATTGCGGAGCCGTAATGATGAGCACGGCGAACGTTTTCATCAGGATATTTCAACAATGGAAAAAAGGTACCAGGGAAAGTGGAATCCTTCCATGCTTGCAGACTACTGTTGGACTCTTGGTACAGATGCTCCAGAAACGATCCATAAAAGAACAGCCAAAAGACAGCGCATATAGTGATTCTTATAAGTATATGAATCTTCTTACTTTTTTAATACATAATACATCCTTAAAAATAAAAAGTTTTTTTTCTAAACCGCAACTATTTTTTTTATTTCATTGTCATTTTTGGATTCAGCGCCCCAAAATTAACAAAGAAGTGCACTTTTCCTACAAGATACAATTAAAAAACTAAAATCTGTTGTCCAGTGAAGTATCCACTAGAAGATACCCAATCCAAGTGAAAGCACAAATAATGGTGATTTTTCCTGTCAGTATTGTAAAAACGATTATTGTCAACGAGATACAAAGTCTTTTTTGATGTGCATCAAGTCGCAGACGGCTTGCGTATCACGAATCGCCTATAATGTAAACTCAGCCTAACAACTTGTTTGTACACAGCTAATTCTATTTGGGCACTTCGCCAAAAAATCCATTTTGCCTTTTTTATCAGCGCAGGTCGATGTCCTCTTCTCGTTCGAGGTATAATTGAAATGAAGGTTGTTGCCGCTGAAGAATTTATCGAAAAAAATGCTATTAAGGGCTCGTCAATTAAAGTGAGCAATACGGGTACTTTTTAAAAATTCGTCAGAGGGCGAAGAGGTTTTTATCAGTCTGGGTGATTTTATTCAATTTACGCAACAGAAAAAGCCTGGTTCGTTTGAATTTTAATATTAATTTAGTCAAGTACATTGACTCCGCTTTCGCGCAAATGCCTTGTCAAGTCGCGTTTTGCAAAAGTTCCCAAAAACGAAAAATATAGATTGTTTACATTCGTTTTTGAAGGGTTATGCGATTTAATCTCATTTTTATTTCCCACGCCACTGGTGAAGTATATACAGTGGACCCCCGATAATCCGGCCAATGTCTAATCCGGCGCCCCCTGTAATCCGACATGTCTTTGAATATGTATTATATACATACGTATTTGACAATATTCGCTAATGTCGATCACGCAGGTTTGAACAGGTCACAACTTGTGCGCGCCACCGCTATCGTGCTCGACGCGTAAGCATTGTTGAATTTGACTACTGCTGATAGCGTTACGGCCTAGCATGCGTTCATTGTTTTTTATTTATTCATTGTGTATTAAGTATAGTACCTAGTAATGTCATCACAAACTCAGAAGCCAAAGCACAAAACGTTGACAATTAAAGAAAAATGTAATATTTTAGACCGCTTAAATCGCAATGAAACTTTCAGTAGTTTAGCAAGTGAATACGGCGTAGGCCGATCTGCAATTTATGACATAAACCACGAGAAGATCCAGAAGTTCGTGTCAACTACTGACTGCGGGCCAGGCAAGAGATAGACACTCAAGAAAGCTGAACATCCGGAAATGGAAGAAGCTTTGTACATGTGGTTTCTTCAGGAAAGAAATAGGCATGCACCAATTTCAGGACCCATGTTGGCCATGAAAGCTAATTTTTTGTATAAGGAAATAACAAAAAAAGATGATTTTGTGGCCAGCAAAGGATGGCTAGAACGTTTTAAAAGCCGTCATGGCATATGTTTAATGACTATTACAGGTGAGAAACTTTCTAACGATGCCTCCTGCATAGAGCCCTTTAAATTGAGATTTTTGCAAAAGGTGAATGATCTTGACCCGTCACAGGTGTACAATGCAGACGAATCAGGGCTTTTTTGGCGTCTGATGCCTAACAAAACTTTCGTTTCTTGTAACGAAAAATCCGTACCTGGACGAAAAGTAAGTAAAGAGCGTGTAACCATACTACCATATGCTAACGCTGCGGGCCCACACGCGCTTAAGATGATGGTCATTGGGAAATCTAATAAACCACGGGCATTCAAAAACATTGATTTACCTGTACACTATTACGGACAAAAAAGTGCATGGATGACAAAAGACCTTTTCAAAAAGTAGTTTGATGAATGCTTCGTACCTGAAGTTAGAAAATGGTTAAAAGATCATAATTTTCCTCAAAAAGCGTTGTTGCTTCTTGATAACGCTCCGGTCATCCGTCTGAAGAAGAACTAACAACTGAGGATAAATGCATAACTGCGATGTTTCTTCCGCCAAATTGCACTGCACTGATTCAACCAATGGACCAGAATATTATTCAGTTTGTCAAGCAAGACTATAAGAACTACTTCTGAGAGCCGTATCAAAAGACCAACCAATAGAAAAAACTTTAAAAGAATTTAATATGAAAGACTTGGTTTTTGCTCTTTGTCAGTCGTGGAATGCGTTACCGTCATCAACTATTAAATCGTCTTGGAAAAAGTTATGGCCAGATATAGTCACCACTCCTAGCAACGTTCCACAAATCAGTGTAACTTTGGAAGTTATAGAACAAGTCACTACTGAAACACAGATAGGTAAGTCCGGAAGATTTGGAAATCTGGTGCCGTGGAATGGATAAATAGGAAAATGTTTTTCATGAAATGTCTGACGAAGAGATTATAAAAGAGGTTTCTACTTATACAACAAACAATCAGGAAAATAACGACGACGTGATTGCAACTGCTCCACAAGTCACAGCACAAGACGCAATTGACGACTTTGAGCTAGGTTCATAATGGGCCGAAGAGTATGAACTTTTACTTTTAAGAAGACAGGAACAAAGCTCTGATCTCGCGTTATAACAACCTTAAACAAAAAAAATTGATGGATATTTCCAAGCTTCATAGTTTGATAAATTCATTAATGATTTTGATTAATAATTCTTGATTATTTTGGTACATGTATGTGCATTTATGCTTAATTTTATAATAAAACGTAAGCTCTCTGTTTTTATTTAATTTACTAAATTCGACATACATAAACTA